GGCCAGCTAAATTAGGACCCCACCTGGAGCTCCTCCCACCGGACCAGCGCTGACTCGCCGCTGCCCTCCCGCACCAAAGGTAAGTGAAGAAAAAAAAAACATAGCGCAAGCATCGGGGCATTTTGACAAGTACAAGTACTTGTCAAAATGCCCTGTTTTTTCCGCCCTCACCCTGTAGTGCCCTCAGGCGGCCGCTTGACTTGTCTTGCGGTAGCGCCGGGCCTGCGTGGCACTACAGACAACAGGCAGATGTCAATCCAACCTTCTCAGGCAGGGCCGGTGTAAGGATTTTTGCCTACACAGGTGAAGGTAGATTTTTGTGCCCTTCCCCCCCGTGTGCCCTTATTTGGCTGCCTATACATCCTTGCACTAGCCTGGACCACATTGCTAGGGTGTAACACGGCCAAATTGCAACCCCTCCAACCCTTAGCTGAATCACAGGGTCCTTTTCCCCACAGGCTGCTTTTTTTTAAAGTTGTGCGGCTGTGCGTGGCTCCACCAACACAGCCACATCATCCATACCGCCTGCCATCTTTTTTTTAATGTGTGCGTTCACAGGGGCTGGGGACTTAAATGTTTTGGGGGATTTTTAATTTTAGTTAATTTCACTTTATTTTTTTTAAACCTTTTTTTTTTTTTTTTTTTACTTCATTGCTGGGAGCAACACCCAGCCTGCTATTGGATATTTCAAATTGCAATAGCCAATAACAGACTGGCTACAGCACCCACCCACTGCCTGCTGTCAATCACCAGAGGAGGGACCTGAAGGAGAAAGTTCTCCATAAGGTCCTCCTCTGCTTATTGTCAGCAGGCAAGGGGTGGATGTTATTGACTACTGCAATTTAAAAGAGCATTGCGGCACGGGGGAAGGAAACTCGCAGACTGTCGGAGGTTTCTCCTTACAGGCTGTAATCGGCTGTCTGTCCCCTCTAACACTGATCGCTGCAGCCGATTACAGCCTGTAAGTAGAAACCGCTGACAGTCTGTGAGTCTGCAGCGGGGGGAACGGGATGGGCAAAGTTATCTGCAGGGATGGTGCTAACATTTCTCCACACCCCCCAACAGCGCTCTAGCCGCTTGTGCTGCCTTGCACGAGCACTGGCACTGTTTTCAGGGAGCCAGCCTTTCTTACTATGGTACATTCTTCCACATGAATCCACTTTTGTGTCTGGTCGATGCATATATTTCAGTGTTTAGA